TCTGTTTCCATAGGTTGCTGGACTTGAGCCGACGCGTAGATAAGGGTGATCGACGCAGCCTCGAACAGTGCGCCCTCCATCTGGCCCGGTTGGGCGAGTTCGCATTTGCAGCCGACTGCTATGCTCGCCTTGGTGACACGGAACAACAGTTGGCCGTCTATGTGGAAGCCAAGCAATGGGAAGAGGTGAGCCAATCTTGTACATCCTTCCAACCATTTCAAATATTACATAACCCAGTAAGGAGACGTCATAACTACTCAGTTAACTGCCTTCAACACAAATGAATTCTGCGTCGCCAGCACCAAGTCCATGCTATTAGAGGATCATTCTTAGAGCTGTCTATTTTTAGTAATAGCAGTCCTTGGCAGATCCTCTGGGAATATTTATTTCTTGCTAGTATTACTTTCTATACAAGCTTTTCATTCTCTCCTTATCATCCATTTGATATTTGCCTCAAATACCCTTTATTTATCAATGAGTCATATGCATGATTTCAGGTAAGGTAGGTTGTCGAAATTGTGAGTAAATAGTGACTACAATTTCTAGTCGCCCAAGGTCTTATTATGGGATGGATGACTGATGAATAAATTTTACCATAATGCCATTAGTAGATTTAACATTTCCATTGAATTCCCCATAGCCTTGCTTCCGAAAAGACCATATCCCCAGGGTGGGCTGTATTCTTGACCTCAGCGGGAATCGAACCCGGATAGAGGGGCGTATAATCTCAACCTTTCAGCTCTCAGCGTCAGGCCTCTTCCATACACATGTAATGTAGGATTGTCGACAATGTAAACCTGTATTTGGCTATGACGATAGAATACACTACTTATGTTAAGATAAAGTGGGTATTATAATCTATCATTAAATATTGAATAAAAGTTCAAATAACCATAGGTCGCACAAAGTGATGAACTTTCCCATAAAGTTATGATTAGGATAGGCCTTCCTTAAAATTCATGTCCGCTCAGCGAACCAAGGGCACTCGTAGCGTTGTGTCTTAGGGGAAACCAGTCAAGGTTATAAGATGCTCTACCACGTCTCGATTCCCACCGATGATGCAAATGAGGCCTAGTCGAGGTCGAAACTGCAGTCCATCTTGAACGAGAATTTCTCATGAGAAGCTAGGCTCTTATACAGAAGTCTACTCATATACTTGTGGGAAAACTTAATTGTCATTAATTCATCACTTTATGCAACCTATAGTGACCAGAACTTTTATTTGCATGTTTTGCCTCAGCGCGTTTGAGACTAATGCAAGTGAGTTAATTGGATAATAAGCCCAAACTAAAGTCCCTTTTGTATAAACTATATTCCATCCAATTTTGATAGCGATTTGAATCATTAACTACAAAATACTGCCTTCATACGAGGACAGAAAATATAAGGCAACCAGCCAAACAGAGCATTTTACTTCAGACTCTTATAACATGTATAGTCTACAATATTTTCTCAAAGAAGGCATACAACTACCTCCATTGTGCTCACTTACCATCTTAGTGAACTAAAGGATTTACAGGACTTATATTGTAGTCAGGGCCGAACTGGAGACAATCCCGTAGACCGCCCCGACACATGAAGTTTTGATAGTTATATTAAATCGATGGAGGCATAGTCGGCAGGTAAATCCAATTATGCATATAAATATCTCAAATGCACAAATTTCACAGATTGAGAATGTCCATCAAAGATGTCGGCCTTCGAAATTAATTACCACCTTCAACAATTGTTCACAAGCAAGGCATCTTGTAAGATACATAGCCCTGCATCTTTTTCTATTTCTATATTAAAGTAGTCAAAAATAAAAAACTTGCAGTAAGAGCCAGTAAAACGATGGCGCATTGTGATTCACTTGATGGCTTAGATTCATATAGCCAAAATGCTCGAGAGGCAGTCCAGAGAAAACTTGATTTTATCATGAGGTTTATAAGATATAATTTGAGTGCGTTCAGCACCTATTTGGCACGAGACATTTACTAGATTAGCATAAGTTTGGAACTACCAATGGATTTTCCTTTATGGCATGGGTTTACAGGGTATAATAGTTTAAGTAAAATCTAGAATGATTTAATAACTTCCGTTGCCAAAATCAGAACATACCTCTCATTAATCTTGGGTTGTTTAAACACACTCTGAGTTACTGATAATATTGACACCCATCTACCCTTGTCATTCCGATACGTAAAGCATTGCAACCAGGACAATGACAGTTAAAAGTGCTTATGGATCCAGTAATTATTTGCTAAAAAAACAAATTTACTACCTCAAATTCCTGTTTTATGCTTTTTCCTTGCAGGCATTCGCTCTTGTTGAACAACATCGTGAATTGAAGGTTAATCTATACCTGCCCTATGCACAATGGCTGGCGGAACATGACAAGTTCGAGGAAGCACAGGCTGGTGAGTTATTTTATGCGTTAAGCCATGCCAATCCCTATTATATCTCAACCAATGTTGTTCTTGTCAAAAAACTCGAAATGCTTTTCTATTATTTGCCTTAATTGTCAAAAAATTGAAATAGCATATTTTAATGAACCTGATGTAACCCTTTCCCTAAGAAGTATGGTACAGAGGGCCATTAGTTACGTAAAATGACTAGATAATAGGATGAAAAAGCGTAGTAGAAACGCTTTGGAGGTTCATAAATGTCTAAATAGTTGTATAGTCGTAATAAATAATTAGTTTATATGCATAGAAGCGATAGGGGCAGTTGTAGAAGAAGATGTCGACAGCTGGAAGACTGAGGCATTGTGCAGACTAACATAAATAGGCTGAAGAGGCTCAACGATTAGATGCGGCATAGATGCATAGCATATAGTCGATCCTCAGTCTGTATGAGTAAAGTCCTTTTACTGTTGCGGGTTTCAAATTTGGATGAGTGCGATCCTCCTTACACAAAGCTCCCTTTGGCTAAGCTGTGATGAGGTTGCAAATATGAAGCATAAGGAAGAGGCATACGGAGAAATTTCAGAGACAAAGAACAGATAAGTGGCATGAGCAGACGTCCTCGTTGAAAGGAGGATGGCGCCATGGATAGATCCTTTATGGCATGGGCTTACAGGGTATAATAGTTTAAGTAAAATCTAGAATGTTTCAATAACTTCCATTGCTAAAATCAGAACATACCCCTAATTAATCTTGGGTTGTTTAAACACACTCTAAAATACTGATAATATTGACACCCATCCACCCTTGTCATTCGGATATGTAAACCATTGCCAGTAGGCACCCTTTCTATGAGTAAGTCGACCCTGACTATGCCGAAAGTATAGTGTTTAGGAAAACTGCTTAGAGTAAATTCTCACATGAATAGAAACGAGAAAATCGAAGTGCCTTAACTTTAAGGCAATTTTCTATAGTCAAATGTATTATGAAAAAGGTAAGAAAAAGTTGAGTTAGAGGGTTTCGTAAAATTTCCTGCTCAAAAACCGATTAAAATATAGAATTTATATGGAAATGGTTAAATCATTGACACCATAGGTAATCTTAGACAACATGATAAAATAGTTTTGAGAGCAAAGAACAAGCAATTTTATTAAGTTGCAAATAATAGCTTTAGGTCAAATTTGAATTTTTCAAGGACGTTAATCTTCTGGAGAGGGAAAACGAGAAGCAAATAAGATTACATCAGTTTCATGTGACTAGAATTTTCATTTTGAAGTAAGAGTTTGATGGAAGGGATTCATGGCCTCACTTAAAACCTGAGGAGGATTTGAGTAAAAACTGTGGTTCGAAGAATTCCTCAGTGATACATTGTGACAGCTTTCCATATCAAGGGAAAAGTTTGTTGGAAGGAATTTCTTGAAATATTATTACCGGAAACCGAAAGAGGATTACCGCAGAGTAAAGATTATTTGATTGTGCAAAGATTCCTCAGCGACCCGATTGAATGGAGTCGCAGGAGGGTGAGCCGAAGACTTATTCGCACAATCCAGTAGTCTTTACTCTGCGTCTAGCCTCCTCTGGTTTCCGGTAAGATCATGTCACGAATTCCTTGCAAACAATTTTTCATTCGGAGGAAGATTGCCTTTAGTTTTGGAATGCTGATTTGACCAAAAATTTTCGTGGCATATCATCCTCCGATGCATGCTGAGTTCTTATCGCTCTTCCATAACTGATGTATCAGAGCTAAAATGTATTGAAGATATGAAGACCAAGATGTGGTGGCCTCTGGTATGGTCGCAGTCTCCTTTCTATTTATAGGATTGGCTTGACCTCGTTGTCGCAATTTGGTCTTGTGGTCAGGGAGACCATGTAGAACGCACCTAGTCCGAAGTCGTCTGCCATATTAGTTGTCATGATTCCCGGCATCTGACAGTGGACTTGATACATTCTTAAACGTTTCGCCGGCATCATAGTCGGCATCATCAGTGAGGTTTACCATTCGCCTCATTGAGCTAAGAATCGTGATTAATTTTGGTCCTACCTCTATCATAAGATCTAAATGTTCGAAGTATGCGAGGTTCTGGTTAACTATTTCATGCTTCTTCCAACAGACTTGCAATCTTTGCTTTCCGATGAGACTAATTTCCGAATTTCCCCAATTCAACTTTTCATACATATTTTTCCATATAAAAATTTTACCTTATTAGATTTTTTATTCTGAGCTGTCTTTTTTTCTCTTCCAATTGAGCGCTCGTTTTATGATGTGGTGTTTAAAACTTTTTCTTTCGGATGTGCTTTAAAATTTAGCTTTTCTGCATTTGTTTATATGACAGCTTTCATGAAGAATCTGGCTCATATCCTGCGATAGATGCAATTTGATAATCCCATAAAATGTGACTAGATCTTTATGAGAACACTGTGCTTAGTATGTTGCTCTCATTGCCCTAATTCTGCTAGTTTAGCTTCACCATGCTTTGCATCATAGCTGGGCTTCATATCATATATGAACTTTAGATGACATTCTGGAGAGATCGACTCTTAGCTAAACCTGAAGAGAATTCCTTTTAAGCAGCAAGACTGGGTGAAGCAGATTATCATAGCAAAAATTCTGCTTCTTTTCATCGCCTTTAACTTACATATCAGACTGATTCCTCCGAACTGACCCATGGTGACTATCTTTCTTATCACTATTTGAAGAATGTCTTGTGTAAAAGGACAAAATCTACTGGATTCCATATCTATATTTTAAACCACATGGCAGCATAAACGAAACATGAGCATATCTTAGTCTCACTTTTCTTTCAGTCTCTGATCCGTACACGCCCTTTTAGTTAAAAATGTATTCAATTTGCTTTTAGATAGTGGTTTTTAAACTCATTAATCTGGATGTCCATATTAAAGCATCACCTCTTAAGGGGCGAATAGTGCAAATGTCATTTCGTGATTCACGACTCCCTGATTTATTTTGTTATTTTTGACAGTTGCAAGTTTTATCGACAATTCAAGAGCATTTCAGCTGTTTTTTAAATCTCACTGTTCATAACT